TTTTTGCAGACACCAATATAGCCATGGACAAGAAATATAGCACACAATAGCGGACAACGTTTGTGCAACTATAAGAAGAAATTATTATAGATGTTTTGGTTAAAATGTAACACACTTGGCACAGTGTTGGTGATTGTAACAATGTTATGTTACGGCGATATCCGAATGTTGATTGGCTAATTAGCGGTTGACAAGGACAGCGCCACCTCTTCAGATCTTTGAATAGAACATATGAAATGAAGTTGAAATGAATATTCAAATATTTAAGTCTAAACACACACATGTAATGAACATGTTATCTAATTTGTTTTATTCGTGTATATAGTATATGTGTGTGTGGTTCCGGCTCTTGTCATGCTTAGTGTAGTCATTGGTGGGTTAATCCGCCATTATTCGAACCCTGCTTACATGTATGTTTAATTATATATTCTACTGTACAATAATTACATATTTTAATGAATACCCTGTAAGTGTCATTCACCATTAATATTAACGAAAACTGTATTTTTTTAGTTCGGGGTAGAGCAGGTTCGTGGTGACAATCTCGTGACGATCGAGTTGACCTTTTAGACGATGACATTACGCCTACTGCACAACGTACATTGAAACTGTGTTTAACTTTTATGTAAACCCAATGTATAGATACAAGTCACTAGGTAATGACTTTACAATTCTAGTACTTACCCTCCCTGTGTATTCGGAAAGTCTGGTGCGTGTCTATCTGAGTGAACAAAAACGTTAACTCGACTGGGATCTTGGTGGACTTCGGAATGACCCCTTTCATCGTTCCACCTTATTTCAAACATGCTAGGCAGACCGTTCAAAAAGTCTTCCATTAGCGATATCCCTATCATTGGTTGTTCAGCAGGACCATCCATTCCATTGATCGGTTGGTTGGAAAAATGCGAATTGTTAAAAGCGTTGTGTGGTGTTGGAAAATGTCCGTTCGTAGTAATATTGGTCCGATTAAGAATACCCCAATGATTATGCACTGCGCATGTGTTGTTATTTGGTAACTTATAACTGGGGTAGAACGGGTAAACCCTTAACTCGGAAATTCGCCTGACGTTTCGCCACTTGTCGTGAGATCTCCATCTCATATTGCACCACCTGTTATCTTTATTTTATAAATCTTTGATTGTACATATGTTCCGTTCCAGTACCACGGGCGCCCGCAAGCAAATATCGTTGGGACAGCAAACACAAACTTGAATAATTGTACAGCCAACCGAAGCGATGAGGGATGAAAAAAACTTATATTTGCTTTAATAATGTATAATTTTCCAATATCGTTTTTTTTTTTTCAAGTAGTACAGAACAAAATTAACAATGTGTGTATGCATCTGTGTTCAATTCAAACAGTTTTCAGTCATATATGGGTATATTACGCGACTCTCAACTGTGAATAAATTAGACTGAGGACTGTCGACAGTCTATAATGAAGCCAAAATCCACAAATAATCATAGGACATTTTCGTACAGAACTGCTCGATTTAGTACAAGTATTCAACCAACGTTAAGTTGCATGTATATTTAACATATTCGAATAACAGTTTCAGTGTTGAAAGTTCTCTTTTTTGTGAGTAATAATAGTGTCACTGCAGGATAGGATATGAAGCTACTGGTAACTAAGACAACGCTACATTGAAGCACCGTGGTTACTAGCCTGTCTGAAGAATAGAGACGGATAATCTCGTGGAATGGTTATCAACTGATTCAGAACGCAGCACAGCTGAACAGGAAAATAGCAAACTGTCGGCAAGACAGTATAAATTGTAAGAGTAAATTAAAAACAAATCTGTGAATTATGGTTCCAGAGGGCGCTGTCTATCATCAGGAGAATAGTCATTTTGAATTGGGATATCACAGGTTGTACATATAGCAACAATGGTTCAAACCTTTAAGACTTTTATTGAGGAATCAAAACGTCAATCAATGTTTAATTTTATTTGAAACGGTAAAGATAAAGTTAAAGATAAAGTATTATGATAATTGCAGACATTGAAAGGAGTGGACTAAAAGCCCAAAAGTTTCAATGGATTAAAAAGTTTACCATGGAAGGCCAGGCAAGATGTGTTAAGTAATTTTGGTGGTAACGTACTTTAATTCTCTGCACTTACTTTGTACAGGAACTGAAAGAAATTGTTTTGCCATTCTTGTTAGATATCTGCCTTGAATGGGAAACATTTGCACAAGTTGTCCCTGACTCACCTAATATAATAGACCATCAATGGCTTCGGAATAACAAATATATAAACATTGGGTATCATTCAGATTATTTTAAATCTCTGGCAATTAAAAATGTTAATAGAATATTGATTCATGCGACAAAGGGGCAACCTGTGGGACTGGAATTACTGGAAAACAAAGAAATTGTCAACTATAGATTACTACATATTCATGGATTAAATTCTGCAATCCCAAAAAATTGGAAAACTAAAATTCATAATAACAGTCATAATTGCGATGAACCAGAAAATGTAATTTATTTCAATTCATCATATATACATATCAATTCATTAACAAGTACGCGAGTATATAATAGGATCCCCAACAATTAAGTCTAGACTGGAGGAACTGTATGATGTATCGTGGCTGTGGTAGTTGTTGAAACTAGTAAAATATTTAATTTCTTCATATAAAAGTCATCAAAAAATGTTTACCGATTCATACAAAGTTCAGGTTCAGAAGCACATGTGTTACGAATTAAGCTTTCCGAAACTGAAAATATGCCTACTAGAACTTAAAATATGCCTACCAGAACTAAAATAATCACTCTCTTACAATAATTGTCCATTGATCGTGACTCTTTATTGGTGAGTGTCATTGCGAGTTGACTGATCTTATTAAGCATGCATTCCTAGACAGAACCATAGATTAATAATCAGTTTAATGGATTATTCGAATTCATATACGCAACAATGTATATGCAGTGATGATCATTTTAATTAGAAAATAATCGGAGCACTGTATCACTAATCATATAAACGAGTTATTTATAAATCTTCTGGCAAACTTCATTTCATGGGCGACAGATACTATAAAACGCCGCAGCTACGCGTGTTATTGCAAATTACACACAATTGTCGAATGACCACAGAAGCGGATGTGTAATTGAACATTACCACTTCGCTAATGTACACTCATCACGACAGAAAAGTATACGTTCATATCAACGTAATCTCAGGCGATAACATTGTCACGTTTTTCATATCTACACAAAACATCGGCAATTTATATAGACGTGTTTAGTTTGCCCTATTCAACTGGATACGCACGGTAAATGTAAAGTGGCTTCTTGTATATTTATATATGAATCGAGAGGACATGTCTTTTCACCCACGTCCTCGTATACCGAACATATACACATCAACTCATTCGTGAAATACCAAGTGTTTACTGTATTCGTAATCTCGGGGAATTTTATACTGACAATGTATTAACAGCTGTACATCGGAGTTGATTTAATATTACGATATTTAAATGTTATGATTTTAGGGAACTCAGAGATTACAATTATTCAAAATTTTATTACAAATCGTCGATGACACAATATTGTAGCAATTTCGTTTGTTTTAGCTACATGAATATAGTAGAAACTATTGAGTTGGGTTAATTATAAGATAATGTTTTTTCACACACAACGCTACCTGGACTCAGCAATGCATCCAAGTACATATTAATATTTACATATTAAATTAATTGTAATACTTATTGGAAATAATCGGGGAGAGTGGGAGAGAATGATCAACAGTATATGATGAACTAAGCATCAATGTACATGTTTTGGGCGCTGCAATATTACAGTAATACAGGTTACATATAAAGTATTTAAAACAACGAAGCCATTTGTAAAAAATAAATAATGCATGATTATTTACATTTATAATGCATTTATTCAGAGGAATGGATATATATTACAATAACAGATCAAAGCCTCTTTAAGTACTACACGGTCTATATCGAATATCACTGATCTTATCTGCGTCTGATATAGCTCTTGAATGCACTTTAAACATAGCTTACACGAATAAGGTTAGCGCAATAGCGAGTAATTGCTGTTTAAAGAGGTTCACGTCACCTTTATAGTTGCTGCAAGTCACATTGTGAACCTTTATATTACCATATTTGTTATACAATTCTGTTTTCGTTATTATCACATACAAAAATGTTTGGTTTCGTCAAAGTCAGTAACTGTAATGTTCAAATAAATAAGCACAGTGAATAAAGCAAAAAGTGTTGACCCTCCGAATAAATGTAAAAGGTTATATTTGTTGTACCCTTACAAATAGCATTTAAACTTTCTAAAATAGCTGAAGTACGAACAACTCTCAATGTGACATTTAGACTCGATTAAATCTTTAAAAATAACTGTTTTCGGATATAGTAGTGGAAAAATAAAACGTTTTTTTTTGTCAGCCGTTAGCATATTATTATTTTTGGGAGAATACGACTTATTACCAAAACTTACAATAATCGTAGTAGTGGAATAACATAAATATTATTAATAATATGAGAATAATATAATGAAGAATAATACATAATTTATCTGAAAACCATCTTGTCAAGACACAATTCTTGACAACACTGTATGTGTCATGTTTATATTGTGATAACTCAAGTTATATGTAACAATATACCGAATCTTATTGGCTGAGAAAAATCTCGTTTCGCAGTATACACGTTATTACGATTACGATTATTTTGAAATGTAATTATATTTTTTATCGATTCTCAAATGCAACATAAGATTGTAAATCTGAATGGGCATTCTACCTTCACACTCACACGCTTCTCTATAAACACGTACTGTGACTGCCATTACAAGTTTATATCCATCAGACATTTTACCATGTATGTACACTTTTCTCCGTAACTATTCCTGGTGATGTTTTTAACCGGGAAATCTGTGGTGAGATGTGTGCGGGGTGGGAATTATTGACAAAGAATAAGTAGATCGAATTAGAACATTTCCGTCTCTTCTTCAGCACAAAAAAGTCCTACAGAATATGCACTAAGCCTTCTTTGTCATCGATGCATTTTTCCTTTTTCTTCCCCGCAATAGCCTGTACCCATTTCTTGACACGTCGCCTTGTTATTTTGGTATTTGACAATTTTGCGTGAGTAACCGCACTGGTGTAACTGCTGTCTGGCTCGGTCACGATTGTCGTCGGCGTTTCATTTTTCACAGGTTTATTCTTATAGTATTTGTTAACAATGTCCTCTTCTAGGTCATATGGAATTGGCAGTGGTTTTGATTTGACGTCGCAGTGCATGTCATTACATGTCAGTTTTCTGTAGATCTGAGGAGTAAAATAGAAGAAACACAATGAAATAAAATCACCGTCGGTTGCACTTCGTATGTGCGACGGATAGTTTCCTTAGTTGTGTTCAAATTAAAACTGCTGTGTTTCACTGTCAGCGCTGACTCAAATAGCATATGAGCTGTCATTTCAGTTTTAATTTCCAGTTGACTAGACGAAGCTCCAAACAAATAAATCTTACGTAAATTGCAGTTGCTAGAAAACAATGACAATTTTAAGTACTTGTATTTGAACAGATAAATGATAAACTAGTGAAAAAATAAATAAATGTACTGGAAAATTCAGCATTTTAAAGCACGCAAAATAAAATACATATATCCAATGCTAGAATGCTTGTATTCAAATTATTGTACATATCTTTATATTACGGTATGTATAAGACCTTTGATAGAGGGGGCCATTGTGTTTACCATTCAAGTATGACTGTACATAAGAATGTATCTTACTCCCTCCACGGTGTTTGTAGTGTAATCTTTAAGCGAATATACACACCACTGACCCAGGCATTGGACAAATTGATGCTTCGATATAAACGTATAGGACTTGTTTTAATGGAACAAACGCCGATGTAATGAGACCTTAGATCCCATTTAATTGGTTTGGGGCATGGGTGCTTACCAGGTAACAAGGAAGTGTCAGCAAACACAGCGGTGAACAAATAACCCACAGAGGGCACACCTTATCTTCAAATTTGAACAACGGGGAATATTTGCTGCAGTTTGTGATAGCGATCTTTCCGTATCCACATCTGCAGTCTTCTAACCTATCGTGATCCTCGTCATCTCGAATTTGGATTTTTTCACAGAAATACGCTGACATTGATTTTTTGAAGTCAAACTGCAACAAATTAATATGCACATTGTTATATACTTAAATAACAGTTCATTGACCAGGTAAAGGAACTCCCATTTCATTGACCAGTTAAAGGGACCCACAATTTCATTGACCTGTTAAGGGATTCTCAATTTGGGACACATTAGAATATACACATCCGAATCCAGTGCAATACATACGTACACAGTGTAGGACTTATTACATATGTACCCCCCCCCCCAACTGCGACTCTCCTGTCAATTACTATGACAAATACGTTTTTTCGCCGAGTTTTGTACACACATTACTGTGATTTATTATTAATTGCAATCCATTGGGTTTTGCTAATGACCTTCAATTGTACAAAATTGCTTGTACGTGTAATTCAAAATATTGTTCAATGCTGCAAATTGGCATTGATTTTTGATTTACACGTTTAAAGAAAGGGAACACAACTTTGTACAAACGGTGTTTTCTTTGATTTAATAGAAAGATTACCTAATATCAATGAATACATATTTTCTAACAGTACAAGCTTGCCTGGCGTGTTGAAACGATTTTGAAAATTGTTGGTGTCGTGATGAAAGTTTAATAATAATTGTGTGAAACAAAATTCAGATAAATGACAAATTCTCTATCGTAATCATAAAATATGATGATATGTTCACAAAAAACTAGTTTTTACTGACTTTAAAGGTATATTAATATGTGTAACAAATTTAATCTGTCTTTTTAGCTTACTATTTTGACATGCTATTTCTTTCTAATTTGTAATTGTCAACGGATTATAGTTTGTATAATTGTAGCATATCAACATGGCAAGCAAACGATTTGTTTTATAAACAAACCGAGAAGGCAGGATAAATTGAACCCAGAATTCATGTTTTAGTCGTAAACTATGTCTTTCTCTTGTTCTGCCATGCCAATTTGTTTATAATACTGTGTTTTAAACTGCATTTATATAGATTCTGGAATTTGAAATGGCTGAATAAATAAATAAATCACAATATTGCTCTTACCTGAAGGAAGAATTTCTTGTCATCTCGCATGAGTCTTTTGGCTTCATCGAGTCCCTCATTTATTTGATCACGAATGGTTCTGTGTAAAGTGTTGACGTAAACAAACGCATTTCCTGGAAACGAGCAAAGACGAATCATATTGAAATACTTAGATTGGTTAATGTACCATGGCATTACTGTGCCTACTAAACTAATTGCTATTCACCAAGCATACACCTTTAAAACTAACCATGTATCCAGCTGGTTTTATTACAGAGCTAATGAGGTTTTCATTGTATATGATGAATCAGATGAAAGTATCCGATCTACTAATTCTTGCCTGTTATTACCAAGCACGTTTAGGAATAATGACCGCTGTCAAAAGTTAAATTGTAGGTGAAATCAAAGTAACACAGTATTGTTTTATATATATGGCACAGCAAACGTATAGTCATTAATTGCCTAGCCTTACTAACACCATTAAACACGTGATGAGATCGCGGCATTTGTTTAACTCGTCTTTTTAAAACATTGATGAGAAAGCTAAATGTCATGAGAGGCAATCGACACGCAGTTGCTTGGGGACTAGGTTGACATTTTCTTAGGTAACATATCCTAGAATGCTCGAAAGACACATCATAAAGTTAAAAATACATAGGCTAGTGATTAGTATTTGACAAACCCACCTCTTTCTTTGACTCAATGTTATTTGTGACGTTTTGACGGCACACATTGTTATCGGTTATTTGTCTTATCAGTTCATTAACAGTGTTATATACAATTCTTGTGACATAGTCATTGTTAAAAGTCAATAATTTGTGAATGTTAGCTTTGAACTATTTTACTGAAAAAAACATACAAGAGTCACAATTCATATGAAACCCCCAAAATGCTCATAATATATTTTTCGTGAGCTGAATGTGTTTTCAATAAACAGGAAACAGGCCAGCTGCTAATAACTCAGGCGCATTTCACGCTAGATAACATATATCTGAAAGTGGATGAGGCTCCAGATGTCCAGATGTCCAGATGAGGCTCCAGATGCTTGGACATCACTGGATGAATATCCGATCAATCAGGTATTTGCGTTGATGCATGGTGAGGGCGAAAACAAATACAGATACAAATGCATTGAATAATTTCCAACATTTTAAAAATATTTTTGTGTCAGACGACAGTTGCGGACATTGAATGCCACTGCAGTCTCTCCTATTTTTCATGTTCAAATTGCAAGTGCTGACATTAAGTTTGTTACAGAAACTTAATTATCGTAATTCATGTTTGGGACTACATGGCAACATAACGGGCTTTATTTTCATTCAAACTTTACATATAATACATACATATTTACTTTAAAAAAAAACAGAGTAAAATGACACTGTTTGACCCCAAAGTCACCCTTACCATGCTCAGAATCAAAAACAAAATGTACGCACAACTGTATGGTCTATTGATACACCTTAGTAGTAAATTTCGTGAAAAAACGGTCAAAGCGTTTCAGAGTTATGACGCAGCAAATATTTTTTAGATTTTGTGGATAAAAATGACAATTTTGAACTCCAAAAGACACTTAACATACACAGATACAAAAACAGATGTATGTGGGGCTTTGTCATTGACCTAATGACTTGTTATTATTATGTTATATCATCAATATAACTGGGGGTTTTATTCGGCGAGAAACCACCTAATTGGGTTTGGGCTTGTGTATTATACCGTGGGAGATTGCTTTGCCCAAGCCTTCAGTCATGGAATGCTTTATTCTACGATGAACGCCGCCTTTGTATAAATGTCAATTCGTTCAGACTACGTTTTCAGTTATAATTCTCAATTTTCGTAGCACATAAAATTTAACATGCTTATACGATAACAAAATTAACGTCACATCATTTAGGAGCCAATTGAGTAATCCTCTGACGGTTAATATGCAGCAATTACGTCAGCAATTACGTCAGATAATGGTGTATCATACCATAGCGAGTTGTTGTCTTTAATTATAGTGTCACTACCGGATGTAAGTGTAAAATTAAAAACGCGCATTTCCAAAGGTTGCGTTTTTCATTTCAGTAATGGCAGTTCGCGTGATCCGGGCCTAAAACACGATTAATTGACCTTGACTCTGAGACTGAGCATTTATATCACGTAATCCGTAAAAGTGCTTTATCATTAAATTGAGGTAACAGTGGGTATTATTGGATATTATTTTTTTATTCCATGTCCTAGTAGTTGTTCTATTCCGTATACGCGCCACACAGTCTTCTAGTAATGAGGAAGGGTTTGTCATGTCGAGCCTAATGCGATATGGCCTCTCATCTATGCAGTATTAACTTTACTAGCACCAAGGTAAAGGATAAGAGACTGATCTTACCGTCTTAGTGAAATCGCTATCACATACTTCAATCTAAAACACGGCAACCTTCTGCCCCGAGGTAATAACATTGCAAAGAGTGTACTAGTGCAATACAATTTGCATGGTTGCTAGGAAACAAGATGTGACACCGTGCAATCTTCTTATCACTGTCCGTGTCTACAATCATTTCCAAACGTTCAAGAAAGATCCAAATGATCAAATGACTTCAATGTTGACACATTGTATTTCAAATTGCTAAACCAACAATTCTACGTTTCGTATTTAAATCGTTTCGCTTAGCTGTAATTCAAAACTCTCAGGATATCAACGTGCCGACCTTGTTGCCAACAATGCCGGAGACATCTGTCCGCCTGGTGTTTCGGTACAATATTATTTGTTTATTTTCTTCAACCAAGAACATTATATATTGCGAGTTATTATCAAATAATAAATAATCTTTGGGAATAATTACATGCAACTGCAGGTATGGGCAATTCTCATTATTTAGTACTTGTTATAAGTAGTCTGTAAGATGATAGAATAGTAAGTATAGTGAAAAATCAGCACATATGTTCCTCTGACCGATTCTCAATATAATGACGTATTCATTGTTCAACACACTGCATCACGGGAAAAAAGCAACACAAATGACATTTGCGCCAAACAACTCGTACTAGTACATACATTTCTAATGGACATAACAATGCACAGTTATTTCCTTTCCAAATTCGAAACCCCGTCTAGTGCCTCAAAAAAGTATTTGATAAAAGAGGACACCGCATACATGTATTACAACAATGACATATCAGGATATAATTACGGTACGATTGGTTTACACTCAAATTCGCGGAAACCAAGCTTTCACACAAAAACCTGCTATGAATTTTCCCCAAGATTATCACAAAACACAAATAAATGAGGTGGGTGATTGACATTCAAATGCATTTATAAATTTAAATAATGTTGTAAACTGATTGTCTCAACATGGCTCAGAAGCATTTTACAATGTTTGTGTTCAAATCTCATAAAAAACAAGTCTCAGTGCACGAGATTTCCTATTACATTGAGTAAGCTGCAGTCACGACGACCGAAATACGATATATAAAAAACTTAATAACGGCAAGTAAAACCAAAAAAAATATTCATAAATAATCAAAAATAACAATAAAAAAATATATAAATTAAAAATATAAATATAAAAAAAAACTTAAAGACTATAGCTGCATCGAATTATAATCACATTGATCACCATATGCAATGGAAAGTAACGAGAGCGGTATCCATCAATGTGATAAAGTATTATGCTAACCAAGGGATTATAACCACCATTACAGGTTACATTCAATCAAACATTCTATATTCTAATTCCAACATTTGAAAAAAAACTATATATATATAAAGTGTTTCTTTGCTCATGAGGTATATTAATATTGTGAGTATGCGCACACTTTTGTATGTGATTCCATGCATGAACATAACTGTTATGTATGTGATTTCATGCATGAACATAATTGTTATGTATGTGATTCCATGTATGAACATAACTGTTATGTATGTGATTCCATGTATGAACATAACTGTTATGTATGTGATTTCATGCATGAACATAACTGTTTTGTATGTGATTTCATGCATGAACATAACTGTTATGTATGTGATTTCATGCATGAACATAACTGTTATGTATGTGATTTATATGAGCATAACGGTCATGTATGTAATTGCAAATATGAACATAACTGGTATGTACGTGATTTCATGTATGAGAATGAGATGTTGTTTATTTAAATGGCGTCGTTCAAAAACAAATACATTTGTATACTAAATCATTTACATTGAAGAAGATTCTAACTATTTTATTTTAGTATAAACCTGAAATATTTCAGAGCTGATGTTAATTAATACATTTTGCTATGAATTATATATCCTAGCCTTATTCTAATTGGATATAAGTGGGCTACTCCCGCTGTGTTTTCACCTCCCTTTATTGATGGGAATGTGTAGTAAATTATGCTTATCTGAATTTTTAGAGAATCTTGTCAATGTGTCGAGAATTTAAAAACTGTGTAATCCCCTCGGTGTGACCTGCCATGATTGCATGATTGAATAGTTTCTTTAATTTCCCTATGGGAAACTCACACAACCGATAAGCTGTGTAGAGTTAGGCTATTATTCTTAGTATTAGTGATAGTTGTGTTTGCGTTATTTATCATGCTGTCAGACTCTAGCTTTGATTTACTCCACTTATATCAAATGGCTCACATTACAGAACCCGTTTAAATCTGACTAATACAAGAACCCTATTCGTTGAACAAAACATTAATACACCAATGTTAATCTATAATTAACCATTTTTATAGACGTTTGGGTTGTACAGAACTATAGAAATGCAAACTGTAAATATTTGTGAAACAGTAGGAAGAAGATGAAATATCATGTGTTACTGTAATTGTACATAAGTTGTCAAACAAGCTGTACACACTTCACGCGTAATCTAGCCACGAAATCCCTGTGTGACGTCAGCATGAAATACTGTAAAATACTTTCTTTTCGCTTGGTATTTATTTCCGTTATCTTCGCTATTTTCAGTGAAAAATCTTTTTAGCAAAAAATAATTCCAGTAAAGTATTTTACAGCAAACGGTTCAAGTGCAATGCCGTTTTTATATTTATAGCAAATCTCTATAAACATCTGTTTTTATTCACGTACGGTTTATTACGTAACATTCTTGAACAGCGTTTAATATAGCTACAATGACACTTTAATAACTGCAACTGTTCGACTTTCGACATGACATTATATGCCGTTCGCACTTGAAAAACTATATCACTTCCAGCTTGTTTATTTTAGTCCAATGGGAGAACTGCGAATAAATCCGTATAGACTCAGCCACATTCTAACGTTAATCTAGTCATATGTGTACCTACCCTCAGCTGTGTAAACTCTGGCAGGAAAACAGACTTCCACTTTTTCCCATCTAATATCAGTCAGAAATGGTTTGTCCAATAACATGTGTGCAACATCATTTAATTCCTCTTCTGATCGAACTCTGATAGTTCTGAAAATATTAAAGAGACGTGGCACTATTGGTATAATTATTACAAACTTAGAACGACTTCCGGGATCAAAGGTCATGGCTTACAATCAGAAATACGTCAATAATGGATGAAATATGTAGAAACAACATAGACTCAGGTGATGTTTGCATTCAACAAAAAACAGACCGACAGCGCTAATCAATATTTCTTCTATTATTAATGCGATGCTGCCCTAATGTATTGTAGAACTCAGAGAGGTGTGATTAGAATGTAACACTGGAAACACGACATAAAGCGGTACATTGTTAATCAGGAAGCATGTTCATGTTTTTTTTCAATATAAAACAAACTGCTATAGTTTAAAATAGTTTAAACGAAACACCTTTTCAATAGTGGTTTATTTTTTTTGAAAGTAATTAAATTCGTTTTAAAAATTAAATACACTTTTTTTCAAAAATAAAGCCCTGGACATAAACATGTCATCGTTAGTGTTTATGCCACATTTCGCTACAAGTATTCCGCGGGTCACCAAATGATGTTTCATGGTGTTCCAACTTCTTCAAATGCAAATACTTCATCAGTGTGACAATCGGCAGCATGTCGATAGAACTCAAGCACCAGATTATGAACAAACACTGTTTAATTTTATTCACATATGAAAGATACCACACGTACATTGTTTCAATGTAACAATACATCAGACTATTAATTATTGATAAAGTGGTACAGAACACTATTGTATGTATCATAATAACAACAATGAATATTGTCGACGTCTTGCGCTTATCTATTAGATAATTTGAAAAAAAGCCCACATACGTCATCATTGTAGGCAGACATAAACTGCACTTTGTTATGTCACTTGTATTTCTATTTTGTGTATGTACATATCCTGCACACGTCATGAGTTCAGTAACAGGTGACATTTAATATGCACGGCGTTATTATCAATGTTAGTAAACAACATTACGCAGCGTTACACAAAAGTTTATTTCCTGATTTTTTAAAATTCTTTTAGCAGAACGTGGTTGTCAAATTACAGGTAATATGTACGAAATAGTTCATAGCCTGGACGGTACTAATACAACCCGTCCACACCCTAAATAATCCATAGGCTGGACAGGACTAAAGTAATACTCCCACAACCTACATAGTACATAGGCTGGATGGGACTAAAACTACCCCGCACCATAAATAATCCATAGTATGGACGGGACTAAAATACCACCCACCCACACACACCCTAAATAGTCCATAGGCTGGATGGGACTATTTAGTCCGTAGATGTTGACATTACCCATTTCAAGATGCTTCTCCCTTAATATGCACAATTTGATTTTAAAATTGATTTATTACATTAAATGCAAAATGAAATCAATATACGGTATATTCTATTGTTTAAAGATATTTCAAAGATTGTTTTAATTTGTATTAATGATGCATCTGCAAATACGTTTTCACATACAATGCACGGACGGATGATTTCTGTGAAAAGTTCAAGTAATACTTCGTTCGTTGAATCGTGATAGTATTGCTTTATCATGAAGCAAATCGTGATTCCAGTAAGAATTACCTGTGGTAAAAAGAGCGAGTTGGCACGTAGCTAGGCTATAGGCAAATGTATGCTATGTCACAAAAGACTAACGTTGGAGACATTTGTTGTCCAATTCCAGCCGGTATTTGTTCGTGCTGATTTAATATCACATTATAAATGAGTTAATGCATTCCTAATGAAAAAAAATAACTGACCGATTTGCATTTATCATTTGGTTGCGACTGGAATTTCGTATTTGTATTGTAATCCGACTAATTTTCGTTTGGTCACCAGAATGGTGGTTTGTAGAATTAAGGATGCCTTCCATGCAAACCATGTTTGCTCCTCATTTTTGTATCAAGACCTACCGACACCATACATACAGCAATTAATTTTGTTCTTTTTAGTTTTAGATTTAAAAGCAAATAATCCGTGCACCTTCTAAGTGTATTTCTACCATTTTAATTGATCACCCATTAATTTTAATTACAAATTCGTATTTGTGCTACCAGATATTCGTACAAATGTCAATAGAGTGTATGGGTATTGAGTGTGTTCAAGACATGTACGTACTTACATGATATGCATTGGCAAATATATCAGGCATTAGTCTGCATATATTATTTTCAGATTGACATTTTACAATCTCTCATTGTAATTAAGTGCATATGAGGCACGCTAGGAAATGCTTCTTAATGGGGTACAGAAAAGGTATTATATATTATGCACAATTATTTTCGCTACATGGTCAACGACGTTTGTACGATATGCAAAATGTTAAAATTTTGCCATTTATCAATCTGTTCCCTAACTAAAGCAGTTTCATTGACAAAAAACATCAAGTACGTCTTTCTTTGTTATTTCATGTACATTGAATGAGTCGAGTGCAAATAACTATGATTCTTCTATTGTTTAGCTTGCTTTGAGAACACACATATTTTTATGAGATTAAAATGATTATTAAATTATTCAGCGATATTTACTTGTCATAATCTATTTTTATCTTTCCCAGAGACGCCGGGAGTGGAATAGACAGCTTATCAATAGATTCATATAATATGTTTTCAATCCGGATTCTGAGAACCGGGTTGTGTTTGATGATTATCATAAATTGATGATTATCATACCTATGCATTAGTTTTCCACAGTGTTTACAGGAAACGCTCCCGGATTTCGGTTCATTAGCCACAATCGATATTATATATAGTTACTATGTGTAAATATTTACTAGTCGCCAAACGTGATATGCCCTGCGATAGCTGAACAAATCACTTAATTGAACAAACATAGTTAGAATGACAAATTGGAAGTGTAGCCCGAGGATTTGATAGTTTATGCTAATTCTCAAATTAGATTTCATGCTCACAAGGCAACTACTGAGACTGAATTTTTTCATGTACTCATATAGAAACATTGGGGTCCGTCGTTAAGTAATTTGACGTCATCGTTAATACACAAAGGCACCGACACATTCAAAATATACTTGGTAACGAAAATTATGAGTTAACACAGAACGACACGTGGTCTTCCTCGCAGCCTACATCTCATTGCATCGTAAAACAGAACGACACGTGGTCTTCCTCGCAGCCTACATCTCATTAGATCGTAAAACAGAACGACACGTGGTCTTCCTCACAGCCTACATCTCATTGGATCGTAAAACAGAACGACACGTGGTCTTCCTCACAGCCTACATCTCATTGGATCGTAAAACAGAACGACACGTGGTCTTCCTCACAGCCTACATCTCATTGGACCGTAAAACAGAACGACACGTGGTCTTCTTGATACATCATAGTTGAATATCATTCTAGTTACTTTGTTAAAAAGACGACTGATGAAAAATCTTTTCACACTGAAGATGCTAGAATTTTTATAAACAGCATAGTAGCCGAGTTAGGAGGATATATTTTCGGTATTCCAATGGAAACAAATTGTACTACCTTAAAGCTTGCTGGCTGATTTCCTATTTGCATAAAGTTTTAAAAAAGTACGAAAAGCCAAATCCTTTCCATCGATATTTAAAGTTTATATTCAGTTAAACTTGAAATTAAGAAGACTGCTTTTGCTCATTCTGCCTCATACTTAGATCTGTTCCTTGAATTTGATTCTAAAGGTCAGCTTTCTATCAGATTTTAATTTTAATATCAGCAATTTTCCAAATCTTTGCAGAAACATCCCCCTCTCCTCCATATGGGGTATAAATTTCTCAACTTATTAGTTATGTCAGAGCCTGTAGTAAATACGCAAACATTGTCTTCCTTCGTCCAAACTATTAAACCGAGGGTTTTGACAAGAATGACTGGCCTTAACATTAAATATTGTTTGCAGATATATTGAGCTTGTAGTTAAGTACAAAAAGTTAAAGTTAAAGATGAATGATCTCAGATAGCGTAAATGTCATTTGTCTGATGTAGACATCCGGTTTCTCACACAGAAGGAAGCAATTAATTACGACTCAAAATGATGCATGGTGGATGTATGTAAATCAGGATGTGCTCACACTTTTCGAAATTCCTGACGTCACTTCATGTTATCATGGAGTCCATATATCTTTCTCTAACATGCGCTGAAGTGTATTTGTTCATATACTGTAAAATGCTTTATTTTAGCTGGAATAAATTTTCGCTGAAAAGGGTGTTTTGTATGGAATTTATTTTCTCTGATTACACTGACTAAATCATTCTTTCAGCGAAAGTAGCGAAAATTTACAGTAGAATATTTTGCAAATTTTGTGTTAATGGTTTTTTAGTGTACATTTTCTGTACGACTTTTGATTAGAGATCTACATTTGGTTAAGTTATTTTCGCTTCACAAATGCAGGATGCCATTTACGTATGTCAGTGACCAGAAAATTAAACATTTTGATCACAGATAAAAACTACACGTTTCAATGTTAACGCTGTGACAATACGAATCTCTATACTTTGAATGGTTGAGAAAATTCAGTTGCTGAAACTTTACAAATGGTACAGCAGTCAGTCGCCGAGGATTAATTCATGATCATTGCAATTGCTTCAAATGGAATGGAACAAAACCATCTGCATGACAAAGTTTTGTTCTCTCCTAATAATTTTCTTTTTTTTTCAAATTAGAATATGGCTTAACTGTGACTTCTTTCTTTTTGCACGATGTACGTCGCATATATATACAAACGCTTCACGTACACAGTAGACAGTGGCAACGGGACTCATTTTACCAGCAAATCATCAGTAGACCAGTGGTCTGGAGCCCATTCTACCACAACGTGCACAGTGACAATGATCATTAGACAATGAGTCTGTAATCGCTAGTTGGCAGTGGCCAGCGCATGCCCACTAGACAATAGCCCCGAGAACCAAGTTCAAAACCTGTTTAATATAAACAGAATGTTATATTAGTCCCTGAAAATATAACCCTGAAATGAGCAACAACTGTATTTACTATCTACATTTTTTTTACTGTAGGTATTTCAATTATCTCTTTCTCGTCCACCATTCCGCACTTACAAATCGGACATCGACATATAAAATAAAGTGATATAAGAAAAAAGAGTTTTTACCAACTAAATTGAACATTGTAAT